GGGGGGGAACAACAAACAGCATATCACAGGCTGGAGTAAAGGCAAAACAGAGCTGCAAACTGGAAAACCCTGAATGCACGCAGGTTCAGCAACAACTCATATTTGTTAAGAATACTTTTTATTAGCCAGGTTTTCCAGTGATTAGGCACATACAGCAGCCAGGTGCAGGACAAAGTAAACCAATATGGGAAGCCTGCTTTACTGATAAATCAAAAAGTGGAAGTATTATCGCTGATAACTTACAGTCTGAATTTGTTTCATGGAATAAAGCACACGTTTACCTCAGAGACAAGAACAGGACATGAACAGCGCTTTACTAGACCTTTATGAGGTGACATTTAGCTCCTGGCCTTAACTCTATTCTAGAAAGTGATGCTTTGATCCTCTCAGCTCTCTGTGTTCTTGCTCTTTCATGCAGCTCTCAGTGCACATAAGCCCTTTGGAGTCGTTCAATTTTACCTACACAATCTCTCTACAGTTGCACTTTGCTTTAGCGGTGACTTCTCTGATTTGGGTGCGCCACAAAAATCCTAATCATCAAATCAGCAGATTGGGATTTGATTCGAAATGAACTACCCTGCAATGACTGTAATGGAAAGGGGTGCTGCTGTAAGACCACATCCTGTATCCACGGTCTCTGTAGTTCAACAATTTTTTTTTTTCATGCATACAGATCGAGAATATTTCACATGTATCAGATAATGTAACTATTATATCGTTCCGCTGTTATCTTGCTGTCATTTTAAGCTTTTTTTTTTATTTATCTCAGTAGAAAATTGTGCACTTAGCACAATGACTGCAAAGAGCAGCGCTTTGGTGGCATGAATTAAGACCTGCACCACACACCACATGAAAATACCTTTCTGCTGTGCATCTGAGTAATGCAGAGCCCCCATGTTTGATGAAACTGATTAAGCCCGCAGCACATGTCTTCAAATAAGGAAGCCTTGCACCTCAGGCAGCAACTGAACCATTTTGTCTGTCAAGAAATTACTGTAAGCTTCCTTTTTCAGGCGGGCTTGATGATTCATATCCTTTAACGCGCTAACCACAGCACTGCACAACTCATCTTCTTCAAGCTAACCTGGGGGCCTAACTTAATCCAAGCTAAGCATTTTTTTAATGATAGAAATGCTAGAAGGCCTGCTCCTGAAGCCTCTAAAAAAAGAAGAAAAAAAACATGATAGGTTCAATCAAGTTGTAGGAGCAGTGCTAACATGCCAAATCTTTGAGGAAGTGTTGCAGAGCTGATGCAATCCAGAGGAACCCAACCCTAACAAATATAGACAAGTGGGTAGGATAAAAACAGAAATGCAATGAGA